GCTGCGGGAGGGTGGGGTGGGGGATTGGCTGAGGGGACTGAGGGAGGCGAGGGCTTGGCTGAGGGGCAGGAGCGTGCTGCTTGGGATGTGGACATGTGTTCTAAGGGGCATTCTCCTGCTGCCCACTTTGCAGGAGAGACAGGCTGGAAGCCACTGGGGAAGGAGAAGGGGTGAGTGTTTTGTCTCGGGAGCCCGGGTCTGGGGTGCACAGAGGGACCTGGAGCCTCAGACTGGTTGTCTCTCACCCCAGGAAGGAGCTGAAGGACCCCGACCAGCTCTACACAACCCTCAAAAACCTGCTGGCCCAGATCAAGGTAGGGAGACCAGGTTTCCATCCAGGATCCCTCCCCACGGCTGTGGCTTCATGACCCAGCTGAGGGGGTGGCGTGGGTGTGGGGAGGCTGTTTCCAGCTTGGCTCTTCTCTCCAGTCACACCCCAGTGCCTGGCCCTTCATGGAGCCCGTGAAGAAGTCGGAGGCCCCTGACTACTATGAGGTCATCCGCTTCCCCATCGGTGAGGACTCTCCGGCCTTCCCCTCCCTCCCTCCCTCCTTCCCTCTTCTGCCTGCACCTGCTCTCATCCTTCTGGGCCATGCAGGGCCCTGGGGCCCACCCTGGTGGACAGCCCCCCCGTTCCCACCACCTCTCAAAGCCACGGTCCTTCTCCTGCTACCCAGACCTGAAGACCATGACCGAGCGGTTGCGAAGCCGCTATTACGTGACCCGGAAGCTCTTTGTGGCCGACCTGCAGCGAGTCATCGCCAACTGCCGCGAATATAACCCTCCAGACAGCGAGTACTGCCGCTGTGCCAGCGCCCTGGAGAAGTTCTTCTACTTCAAGCTCAAGGAGGGCGGGCTCATTGATAAGTAGGCCCCGGTCCTGACCTGGGATGTCTCCACGTCAGATCTTGATCCTCTGGGATGCCCTGGCCCCCATTCCGACTCCCAGCTTGAGATGCTCCAACCAGGGGCCCTCCCGCCCTGACCCTGCAGCCTGGCTGGGACGCTCAGGCACCCCAAGCCTGTGGCTCGGTCCCAACTTTCACCATGTCTGAGAGACCTCCGGGGTCAGGGGCCCAGGCCTCTAGAGTGGCTGGTGACCAGAGGGTGAGCCCTGCCCAGCCCCGGTGGCTAGGAGTCCTGGGCCTGGCCCCGGTGGCTGTTTCCTGAAGGCCAGGACCGCTCTTTTAGTTCAAGTGAGTGGGCTTCGGGGCTGGAAGTTCAGTCCGGACTGAAGGGGGCATGCCTTGCCCTGCACTGTTCTGTCTGTCCCCCGGGGGTGGGGGGCACAGGGACCATTCATTCCCTGGCATTAATCCCTTGGAGGGAACAATAAAGCTCTTTTGTTTTCTCTGTGTGACAGTTTCTTCACA